TTATTATTTATTATAAACACATCGCCATTTCTTCTTTTGACACATAAATACTCACATAAGTCTCAATAACTGTTCAATAACGTTTACATATTGTTCAATTTCTTACCACCTTCTCTATCTACATACAAAATACTTTTATTGTATAAAGCCTCAAGCTCACTCATAGAATACTCATCAATCGACTAATTAGTTTACCAAGACATATCGACAACTTATAATACATATCTAAAACATTCATTGGGGCCTATCCATCGATGTAAAATAACATATTGCACATATATACGTAAGAAGAAGAGAAAAAAAATATATATATTGAATTGATTCTTGTATAGAGAGAGAATAGAGAGAAAAGGATTTTATTTTAACCATAAGGTGTCAATTGTTGAATATCTATCTCTTCTCTTTATCGTACACATCACTATTTTATTTATCGATAAAAAAAAAAGAAGAAAACTAATTTTCGAAATAAAAAAAGAATTTGCATTTCTAATAATAGTCGTATAACTCAGTAATATACTGTACAGTTGTAAAAGTGAATCTCTATAATATGTATATGTTTATGTGTGTACTTTTTCTGATCGTTTTAACTAAACGTGACTCTCTTTTTTTTTATTATTTCTCTCGTTCATTTTTGAACAAATAAGTGTAGTAGACAAGGTATGTGTACAATTTGTTTTTTTGTGTTTTCTAATTTGGCACAAACAAGCGCTAACTTCAAACAAAAAAAAAAAATACATGTACAAATTTTGAGTAAATATTCAAAAAGTTTTTTATTCAAACTTACTGGCATATTTCATCTGTCAATTATTTGAAAAAAAAAAAGGCAAAAATAATGAATATTTTTTTCTTTATCATGTGAGTTCATTAAAATGTAATATCGACTTAAAGATGGATTGCATCGTTTTGTCTTATAAACGGATATTAGTGAGGAAATGCTTTGATGTTTGCTATTTGATAATCGTTTTTTAATCTAAAGAAGGTCATTACATGATTGATGTATGAATATGACGTTTAAGAAGTGAAAATAATAAAAGGAGTGACACGTCGTTCATAATAGTAGTTAGTGGTACGGGTAATACAAAACGTTTTTCTTTTTTTTAAGTTCCGTTTTAGATTTAATTATGATGCTCGGCACGTTTATCAAAAAGTCACAAATCAAAGTGACACTACTGTAGTTGTTATACAAGAGGATAGAATAGTCTTTGAACTTTTTATTTTTTTTTTTTCGTTAACTTAAGTAACATATGCGTACGTTTCAAGTTGAATCATATGATCTGCATGTTCATACTTAATACGTTTGTGTAAGGAAATGCTATATATACTAGATAGAAATTAAGAATAAGCATTGCTACAGAAAATAGTTGATTTAATTCATTTTTCGATAATGATGTACCTTTGAAGATGATCTTGTACTATTGTTAGTAGTGATTGAGTTTTGATGTCTGAATAAGAAAGTTCTTAACTGAAAAATGTGACCATTATATAAGCGATCTCTGCCAATGCGAAGTTCGTATATTAATTACGCAATTTTGTGTTTTCATACTATTCATGGTCGATTGTCTAATCGAATAAAGTAAACACGGTTCACTTCTGTTGTAATATCAATAATATCTACAACTAGAAAGCATAAAACGTGAGATAGATATGAAAGGTGGAAATTACTGTTCCAAAACTGTTAACTTAATGAATCGTAATTGTGTCAAGGTTCAGAAATACTATTACTATCAATGAGTGTTTATTTTGATTTATGTATTCAAACATTTGTTGTTCAATCGAATTATTAATGGTCGAATATGATCATATTATAATCATGAAGCTGAACGAAATGTTCCATCCATTCATTCACCTTGGCATGTTAATGAAAATTAGAGAGAAAGAGAGGGGAGAGAGAACATGTAGAGATTTATGAGACATACAGTAGAATGTATATCGTTGCAATAATTTATTGTCTGCAGTGAAAAGCATATGTTCACACATTTGACAGATGGAAAGAGAGACCCACCTCTCTCCGTATATGTGTCTCATGAGATTCAGATTTATAAGAAATACATCGTATTGATAAGCATGATTAAATGTTCATGTACATGTATAAAGTTAATTTGTTCAATGTTTGTGTGTGTGTGTGTGTGTGCGAATGTTTGCCATTATTTATTAGATCAACAATTCAAAATATCACGTTGAAACGTGTTAGGTTTTATTGACTATTTAGTCGATCATAGCGGTGACGTGATGATTAATCGCAGGCAAAAGATCATTGGCAAAGTTTAATTACGAAGACAACAAACTTTTATTGTATTATCCGAATCAAACAGATGAATTGTCTACATACACACATATATACCCAAAAAGATATATAAAAATATGATCGATTATATTCTAATTCTTTTTTACCAAACTGTACAGGTAAAATTTTAGTTTAAAAAGTTGAAAAAAATCTGTGATTAAATTGGTAATTAGCATGAAAATATTATGATCTATGCTGCATAACTTCTAAACAGAAACCTACTACTTTTTGACAGATGCTAGTAATTTCCATTACTTTTTACTTGTATGTTTCTCACTCATAAAGCGTTACTTGTATTTACAGAAAATCTTTTACCATCCGGTAAATACTTGAGTTGAAACAGAATATTTTCGTAAACTGAAAGTAGTATGAACAGATGTGTGTAACTAACACTCAAATGATATCGACCATTTGATAGAGTTAAGCCATGTTGTGGCAAAGTAATAGATGGTTCAAATTCTATGTCAATATTCAATACATATGAGAAAATTGTAACGTATGGCCAACCAAAAACTGATCACTTGATATTTTTCTGATACATTTCTCTTCTCACTCATTCTTCACGGAAACTTTATTTTTTTTTGTGAACGATTTTCAAACAGTTTCAAAACTGATTCCTAATTGAAAAAAACAGGTTTTCCGTTGCTTGTTAAGATGAAGTAAAATCCGGATAACTATTTTCTATCCCGTGAAAAGCTGTGAACAACAATTCAAAATTTCTACACATAAAAACTAGATAGAATAAGATTTTCTTCTATCTTCTTTCGGTTTTGCCTGCAACTATCATTTTTAGACAGCAGTTTCACATAGATGTCTAAATGCATGTAATTCTCCCAATATGAAGTTTTGGAGGTTCGAGTTTTCTTATTCTAAAGACAAACAGCGTGTTGATACAATCTAACGTTTTTTGTAAAAGAATTTTGAAAGCCAAAAAAATGATAGATCTTGAGAAAGTTGAATGAAAACACTAAGCGACTGATTCTGCATGGACGACCAGTTATAAGAATTTTAAAGAGCTGTATGATAGTTGATGAAATCTAAATACATGCCGATAACGAGATGAAAAAGTCCATTAAAAGTCTCTTGATTAAATGATATGAGTAGAAGAAAGGCAGTTAAAGAACAATTTGAAAAAATTTTATAATTTTCAAGAACTGTACATCACTGTCTGTTCAACTGTTTTTTTCTTTTGTTTTTCTCTCTCTCTCTCTCTCTCTCTCTCTCTTTCTCTTTTCTTCTATTCATCCGATAATGCTCATTTTTCTCTCTTTTCTCTCTGATCAAACATTAAAAGTTCATTGTGTATGTGTGTGTGTCATACAAATCTTCGGACATATCTTTCTACAAAACAAAACATGTTATTAGCTTAGTGAAGGTCATCCTCTTTTTCTTTTTTTTTTACTTCATATCATCTCAATTAAAGTCTCGAAATCTGTCACAGTAAAATATACAGACAGTTTCATCGATATTATGCTATTGTGAATTTCTGAGAATATCATACATCGTACAATAAGAAAAGTTACAAGGATAAAAAGTAAGGCTTTTATAGTTATTAAACACAATTCATTCATAAAAATCAATGTACAGTTTATATTTTTTGTTTTTATGTGGCTGATTAAGACTCTTAAACTTTAATATTGACAGTCATAGACGGACTAAGACATACCGATGAAAACATTTATAAAGTATCTTCCATGCATAATTTAAATTTAAGATAGTCATAGTGAGGTCATATAATTTGTACAAGAAACTATAGATTAAATTAGCCTAGAAATACATTATAAACTTAATCTTCGCTCGCTAGAGTCCTGAAAAAACATCCAGATCCAGATTTCTGGGTTCGATGTCTGGGTCCAAATCTGAAAATAATTTTTGTCCAGATCGACAACTAGAATGAACAAATTACTTAGACTACGTGGAAATACTTGAAAATTATCCGTTAAGTTGAGGTTAAAGCGACGTTCAAATCCTAAAAAAAATTACAAGTCCGGATCCGGATCTCGATCATGTAATATAATTGATCGGATGAGTCCAGCTTCAAACAATATTATATACGCAGGACTCTACCTTATACTTACTAAACTTTTTTACCTTTACTAACCTTAATCTTGTAGTGCTACCGTATAATTATGATAATATTTCATCTTTTATGTGTTGTCTGTCGTCACTTTTTCCTCTTATTTGTTTGCTTTTATTTTTTTGAATTGTATGCACGTTTGACTTACTCTCTAACAATAACAAAAGCTAGTTCAAAGACAAATCGTCTTCGTTTTAAGCAAAGACAATAGTTATGAATTTTCATGAAATATAGTTAATGATACCTATCATAGTTAAAGGATAGGTACTGCACGAAATTCGGATCAGTATCAATCCTAAACATATTATTATCGTTCTTAACTAATGGAATATTAATGGGCATATACAAAGAGAGAAAGAGAGATACCCTCAATTAAACAGATAGTTTATACTCTGTTTGATGATACACTTTACCTCAAAAAAAAGTTAACTATCTTCTTGATTCTTTCTTTTTAATAACATATTTCTAACAAGATTGTCTATTTTGATAATTTTTTTGTTGATTGCTGATGTCATTTAACTATAGATGACACATCATGTTGAGAGTGAAGATGATTGTGTCCAATTTTGAAGGTGTCAAGAGTTCGTATGACGAATTTTTCTTTCACCTAACGGGTGGTCTTAATCAAGAAGAATACTTATGGTAAAGATGTGTTTCGTGTTCACGAAAATGTTTTGTTCTCGCTCGCCGTATGTGTGTGATGTTATTTAAAATAGACAGAATAAACCAGAAGATAAAGCTAAAATTAGTTTAATTTTATTTTTCATTGACTTAATTATTGAATAGACGTGATACCAAAAATCAATCACTGTAGAGAGAGGAGATAAGAACGTTTTCTGAATCTAGAAATAAACATGTTTTCTAGCATAATTTGAGCTAGACAAAATAAAGTTATAAAGACAAAAGGTTATGTTATGTCTTTTCTTTTTTGTTTAGTTCATTAGTTGAAGTTTCTGCAATCTGTTTAATGTTAAATATGTTGGAAAACATCTGACTGACCGAACTTTTTCTTCTTTTTTTTAATGTCAAGACAAAAGTCACTTTCTTTTCTATGTTTGCTGTTATCATTATTATTATTAGTTGTCATTTTTCTTTCTTGCATCATTTATAAGTTGTTTGATTTGTAATTGTCAAGACAAAAACAAAACAAACGTCTGTCAACACTTAAAAAATAAGTTTTCACTGACAAAAACGAAGAAAATAATCAGACGCGACCTGTACGAGGAAGAAGACGTATGTATACATAAGAGTCTGTACGAAAAGAAAAAGAAAATTTCTTCTTCCTTTTTCCTTCTACTTCTTTTTCTCTTCTTCTTCAGTTAGATGAATATGGTCAACGTTCACCACAATTTCCTTCCAAAAATGTACATCCAATTAGTCAAACATTGTTCAATCGTGTGTACGTATATGTGTTGAGTTAATAATCTCCAGCACATAAGTTTTATACTCGCTCGCTCTCACATAATTTGATCATATCATTTGTTAATTAAACTTATCATTAATTGGCATTCATTGGTGAAAGATTAGACTATTGTAGTTTAAAGTCAAATATAATTAACAACATTTGAGTATAGTATGTGAACTTTATCGATTTATGTAAAGATACAATTAGGTAAGGAGATTTTTCTTGGAGATAATATCTTTACAATACGTAATAGAAAACGCAGACTAATTAAATAAACGACATTCGAACATAATTTACAATTGTTCTATAGCGAGAGTAATCATGGTTTTTCTCGCACCATTTTTTTAAAATCACCATTTACGTCTTAACATTAATAGTGGAGCAAACAGCTGACATTTTTTTTTCCTATTCATCAAGGTTATTTATTTTTTTCCACTAAAATAAACATTTGAGAATAAAATTTTCGATAAGTGATGGGTGATAAAATGTAATTAACAAATTTAAATAAAAATGTCAAATATTTGAATATGTTCTTAACATGCATATCATTAATATGAATGTCAATCGACAATAAACTAACCTTTCCATATTCAATGGACACTGACTTTAGGTTATTACTATATGTTTTAGATGAAATGAAATGAAAAGATGAATTATTCAAAACTATCTTTATCTTCTTCTTGTTATCACCAAAAATGTTTTCTGTTAAAATCACCACCTCAATTCAATCTGAAACCACCACCGACAATACCTGATCTATTAATAACAACGTTAACGTGTCCATATGAAATTAATAGAATCGTTTCGGCCAGTGTTAATACAACAGAGAGACAACAGCAAACACCATCGTTCATTGTCATTTTAACAATAGCCATGGCAGCATTAATTACCGTTACATCAACATGTGTCGTCATTTTTCTATTATGTATAAGGTAAGAGAACATTTTTATTGCCTTCAAGCCATTATTTTTATTAGGGTAAATGAGAAAACTGTCAATTATACAGGTCAAATAGTAGCTTAGTTTTACTAAAAGTAGATTACGTATACTTTATGCTCTTGAATCAACTCTTGAATGCTGTAAAACAGGAAAAAAAAACTGTGATTTATAGTTGCTATTTCTTTCAAACATTGTTGTTCGTTGTAAGAGATCCAACGCTTGATATTTGATGTAAACTCTAAAATACCGGATTACATGTATCGTATATCATTACAGAAAGTACATGTTGTCAATTCTTGAATTGGTATCTCAGTAATTTTTCTTATTGTTAATACAATAAGCTTATCCATCTCATTAAAAACGCTTTATCTTTAAGTGAAAAGTGGTTTAACTATTTTAAAACATAACTATTATTTGTTTACAGGTTACAATGTTATCGTAAGTTTCGTTCTCGCCGTCGCGATAATTCATGGTCGGCAAATGTTGTAAAAACAAGTATAAACAACCAAAATTCATTATCAAGTGTAAGTCCTAGATATCTCTTTTATCGTTTCTAGCATCATTCTCAAAAAAAGTCATATTAGAGAGAAATCTATCTAATCACTATTTAACATATTCAATAGAAAGAGGCACGTTACGCAATCGAAGTATGTTTACAAATGAACTATTATTACGGAGGGGATACACTTAAGTGGATTGAGCCACTTGACTATATGTATAAATATATACATATATACATATACATGCACGTCTCGTAAATGCTTTAAAACCTCTCAAGTTCAATTTTTATTGCTTTTATCGAAAAATGAATGAATATTAGAGCTAATTTTATAAATACCACATGTACAGGTCACTTTAGTTTTTATGTAAACTATGAGATTAACGAAATGTTTATAAAACACCTTCCATTTACATAAGTGCGTGTTTATGTGACTTAAAGGCATGCAACGTGGTGTGTTTTCACTTAAATACAATAAGACATATAAACAAAACAAATTACAATTTTGTTGATTAATATTTCAGTAGCATTGTTATCTTCTAAGACGCTCTTCGAGTACGAATGACTGTTTCAATTAAACTTGATCATGACTTTTAAACGCAACAATTGTATGCCTGAAGCAATATGTTTAATAAGACGAAAGTCATAGAAGAGAGTAAAAAATGGAAAGCTCGGATTGTAAAATAATAGTTTTATAAGTTATTTCCTTTTCCTCTTTTTAGGTTTTACCTAATTATGGTTGTGTGACTCCATCTAATTCTCGTTATCCTTCACTGCCAATGACAACTGACTCAAATCTTAGCTTACCAAATAATGATGAAATAAAAACATTTGATACATATATTCAACAACATACACCATCTATTCGTACTAACGATGTTTACGAAGAAATCACATCCGGTACCGATCAGTCACACCCATGTTGTACATGTACTCTCACATGGAAACGTCATTGTTTAAAACCCATAGCAACGACAAATCTACACCATCCTGGTGTACATTTATATTATGCCTGTGAGCCACAACCATCAGCGATTGTTTGTCAAACGTGTCTACTCGAATCAGCTGTAGTATGTAGGACTAAAACGTTGCAACAACAACAAAAATTACAACCAGAGTGTTTATGTACGTGCAATCAAGAAACGTTGAAAAATAATTTCTTTATACCAATACGCAGTACAAGTTGAAAATGTATCCGGAATATTCTTCAACGATACATCACTTCGATGATTATAACTGGATAGATCCGGTAGTGTAAAAGCGGATAGTGTTGAGTAAAACTATAGTCGATGGTGTATTACAAGTGCAGTTTTATTCAGAATTGCATTATTGTAAACGAAAATAAAATTAATGTCTTTAAAAGAAGTTTTTTTTGCTTTTAGTTTTCTTAAAGCATCGGACTAGTGGTAGACTGAACACCTGCCTGACTTCTTCAGTACTGTGAGAACTGCCATCGTTTTTCATATGAAAATCCGCAGACTTTGTATCTGTTGTTGTTAATTTCCTATACGCAACATCTCGTGTGTATATACTGCTTACTCTTTCAGCTATGCAAAGGCCGCATTTAGTTAGATATCCTTTTCATATTTTTTTCTACGCTTGTCAACAGTATTTCTGTCTTGATTTCATTAAAGAAAAATTCAATAAAGAATACGAGACAAAGAAGACAAAAAGTCATTCATTCGGTCACTCAAACTTAATCTCAAGGTCACTCTGTATCGTTATTCAAATGAAAGGCTCTTTTTCTAATAATAATATTCAATATATGTCTGATTTTAATTGAGTTCGTATTGTCGCCCGATACTCATTTCCTGTGTGTATGTGTTCGATTACCTATGTTCTTGCTCGAGATATACACATATTGTGATTATTTGAGGGAGATCATCGAGAGTTTTTGTTATTAGTTATAATTAGACTCTTTCTCAGAGATAACATATGTTCTCAGTATGTGGTATGAAAAATGTCAGTGTAGTACCATGCTTATGAAAGCACCGCGTTGAACAAAAGAACTTTTTTTAATTATAAATCGCCATTGTTTGTCCTCGTTGTCATCATCATCACAACTATGCAGATTAGGTTTCACTATTTTTTAAATTGTTTATATTACTTCTTTGTATGGCCACCGACCGTTTTTATATCTAAAAGCAATGTTAAACATGACATTCGTTGACTAATAAAAAACTTATAAGTCTTATTGATTTACTTATCAAACAATATTCTCAGTACTTTTATGTCTTTACCTTGGTTAACATGAAAGTTTTAAAGTGATAATCAGATATTGCTGCACCATTACAGCTCCATTGAGACTTCAAACTTTAGATTCATAAGAAGTTTTCAGAAAAAGCATTGTTTTATTACCCTTTTCTCGTTAAGAAGAAAGATCATTATCCCTTCTTTTCTGGTTGTTTAGGATTGATTGTTTTGTTCAAAAGCGGATATGTGATTTGAACTTATATTTCCTGTTGGTCGCTTAGTTCTAACAATCTTTTGGTCGTGAAACTGACACACATACACGCGACAACTTGCAAGAACTGTTGTTCATTTGATCGTAAAGATTTTTTCATCTCTCTTGACGATTTGCATAAAATGAAGATGACATAGGACAAAAGTATTTTCTTCCTTTATTCAGTAATCTTCTATCAAAAGACGTTTCACTATTCAGAAATACTCAAAATGAACTTCTTCTCATTTACTTAGACTATAATATTGATTATTGTCGATGAGTTCCAAATTAAAAGCACATTTTCACATATCAACAGAGATCAATAGAACTTTTTCTCTAACAGGTAAAAAATTTTCAGTGCAATACAAGAAAGTTTATGATATTTCAGGATATTTTCTCTCGATTGGCGGGCCGACAGTAGCACAATTGAGAGCAGTTACCCCTTCTTGGAAAAAAATATCAAGTCATTACACTGTAATTTGGAATTATTTTCTACTTTATAGAAAATCGATCTGGATCTTCCAACTTTTATAAAATCCTCAGCGACTTTCGGACTGTTTAGAAAATGTTGATTTTCTACTTTCTAGAAAATCCGCTCGATTTTCTATGAATTGCCTTTTCTCATTTGCCGGAAAATCGATAAGGAATTTCCAAAAAGTTGGAAAATCGAATTCGATTTTCTAACGAGAGAACCCCTCGAAGTGATTAAACGCTTTTTGCTCGGAATCTAGTGGATTATAGGTTATCGACCATGGGGCATAGCCCTTCGAAGACCGAAGTTTTTCAAAAACTCTAAAATATAACCCAAACCTTTCTTAATGAGGCATGATTGTAGCCCGCACATTTCTGATTAAAATGAGACATCTCCCAGCTTTGTACGAACCTTTCTTTGCACAGTTATAGAATTTATAAGAAAAGCCCTAAATGTTCATTGTCAGCTCAAAGCTACAGGAATAAGAAGAAATTAATTTAGGGCTTTTCTTGTAAATTCTATAACTGTGCAAAGAAAGGTCGTACAAAGCTGGAAGATGTTTCATTTTAATTAGAAATGTGCGGACTACAATCATGCCTCATTAAGAAAGGTTTGGGTTATATTTTAGAGTTTTTGAAAAACTGGTTTTCTATAAAACCAGGTCTTCGAAGGGCTATGGGGAATATATGGTCGTATTCGTAATCAGCATGGTCGATAACCTATAATCCACTAGATTCCGAGCAAAAAGCGTTTAATCACTTAGAGGGTTTCCCTCGTAAGAACATGAAGGTGATTTTTTTCTTGCGTGTTTCACATCTATTAAAGCCTACATTGCAACAAGTTATCCTGTAACAGATCTCTGCTCCTGTTAACATTTAACATCGGAAATGTTAGTAGATTTGGAAAGTTCTGTCAAATTTTGCAAATCAGCATATTCGTCGAAAAGTATTGTTGCTGTATGACACTTGGAGATCACAAAGAGGTACTGAAAAGGTTCTTGGGTTGTCTATTAGAGACAAAGTCGAGTTCCACCGCAACTTTCTGAACATCGCAAAGCGATTCGCTCTTGCTAATATTCCCCATTTTTATGTCTGAATTTAGCATCTTCCAAAAGTGTTGTTGGTTCTATTAACTCAAAGACATGATCCAAACAATTCACATTTATTTTCTTTATTTTCTAACTAAAATAAGTCGTCCAACACCTGAGCGATGTCGAATTCGATTTCATTATTAAACAATCCATATTGTCATCCCATACGCTGAAATAATACACCCCACTCAACCTCGAAGTTCAACAGCTTTTAATAACGGTGAAAAAGTTTATCTTCAGCTATTTTCACTTTGCAAGTCTCTGATTATCGGCATTCTCACTCAAATTGTTCTTCCTCACCATCTAGAAAATCATCTAGAAAGTAGAAATTAATCCGACTTTTTGATTTCCGAAAAGTCGATATATAAAATCGCTGACGATTTTCTATAAATAACTCCTAACAACGTAGATCGAAGTCGATGTCGATTTTCTACAGTGTTGGAAATTCGATTTTCTATAATCTAGAAAATCCTAGAGGATTTCCTATGTGGACGTTTTGAAAATCGCCGAGCAGTTTCTATAAATAATTACCAACTTTACAGTGTAGGTAATTATTGCATTGTGAAGAATATACTTAGCAGCAGTGTATTTTCTTAAAGTTCGCAGTAAGAAAAACCAAGAATGTTTAATTGCAAAATTACCCCACTTTTCCCGGAAGTATATTTCTGCATGTACCACTCTAAAAGATTTATTGACCTCCTTAGAAAAAGTTTCCCGGTCCGCCCATATTTTCTTTATTCCCAAAGCTGAACTCTAATCGTGTACCATCAAATGCTTCCATAGATGTCATCCAAACGAAAAACAAAAAATCAGAATTTGACAATGTTTTCAGAGGATCTCTTTATCTGACAATGAATTCAGTATACAAATATATGAAAAGTGGTATGTGAACCGTGATGAGTTTGA